TCTCCTCGCTCTCTGTTCTGTTTCAGTATTCTCACTCCATTTGGTGCTCGGCTGAGTTCTTTATCTCTTCATTTGATGTTCTAGGGTTTCAGGTATGTTGCATTCTCTGTTTGGCTTAGTTTTTCGGATCTTTGCTGTGGAGAGACGGCGTGGTGCTTCTGCCTAGAGCGCCATCTTGCCGGAACCGCCCCTAAAAAATATTTTTGTTTCACTTCTAATCCATATGAAATTTATTTTTGTATATAATTGTATGTATGTACTTTTTTTTCTTCCAGGTGGATAGTTAATTATTATAACGTCATGTGAGACTCTTTTAGTATCTAGTGCTACTTTAACAGAAATACCACAAGCGGATGGTTTAACAAAGAGAAATTTATTCTCTCACAGCCTAGGAGGCTAGAAATCCAAATTCAGGGAGTCAGCTCCAGGGGAAGGCTTTTCTATTTGTTGGCTCTCGAGGAAGGGCCTTGTCATCAGTCTTCCCTGGACAAAGAGCTTCTCAGCACAGGGACGCAGGGTCCAAAGGACGTGCTGTTCTCCTGGCACTACTTTCTTTGTAGTATGAAGTTCTGCTGTCTCTCTGCTCACTTCTGTCTTTTGTATCTCAAAAGAGATTGGCTTAAAACACAACCTAATCTTGTAGACTGAGTCCTACCAAATTAACATAACTGCCATTAATCTCACCTCATCAACATTACAGAGATAGGATTTACAACACACAGGAAAATCACATCAGATGACAAAATGGTGGACAGTCACACAATACTGGGAATCGTGACCTAGCCAAGTTGACACATATTTTTGGGGAAACAATTCAATCCATGACAGTGACCTTTTTCATATTTTCTTAATGAATTAAAATTCATACATTGAAGTTAGTTTTATATGATTTCCTTATGAATTAGATCTCTTTTTGTCCTTCCGGATAGTTACCATTAATATAATTGCCTATTTCTGTGACAGTAAATAATATTAGGTGGTAAGGACTTAACACAAATTATCTAACTTTTCACTTGTTCACAATCACTTTGTTGTAGTAAGTTTTCTATCTGGTAAAACAAGTTCTTCCTCAATATTTCTATTTTTCAACACTATCTTTTATTTTTCCCATTCACAGATATTCTTTCTTCCATTCTAACTTCAAAATTATATGATCCAATGTGAAAAAATTAAAAAGCCCTGGAATGTCTTCAAATGACTAATGATACTGATTCTGGATTTTTTTTTTTTCTTCATGGAGGTAAATATTCCCACTCAGAATGCAGTATTACTCCACTGTTCAATTTCTAAGAGGTGAAGCAAAGTCAAAACAATGCTAGAGATTTATTAGTTGATCATACAATTTGAAAATGGGGCAACACTCAGTATGAGACTGAATGTTGCAAATGAGTTGGGACAGTCTAGGGGTTTTTATAGTCAGAGTAACAAAGTCAGGGAAGTCCAGGTGGTTTCGATCAGTCTTCCGAATATTCATCAAAATGTCCCTTGAAGCCCTTTCTTTCTCGGAATTGTGTTTTCATTAAGAAGACAAATGACAAAAGAAGGTCTCAAGGTATCAGTGCCTGCTGACACAAGTTCCCAAATAGCAAGGTGTCTGCTTGTCTGGAATGTAGGAGCTTAAGATGTCTGGTGTTAGTTGCACATAAATCCAAAGAAACAAGCTAGTTATAATTTATAAGAGTTTAGGTGACTTATTGTCTTAAACTTTTGCTCCGTGAAAACAGGCTTCAGCCATTTTCTCCAGGCTTGGTAGAGATATTGTCCTCAGTTTCCACATTTTGTTTTCAACCTTCACATCACAAATATTTATGTCTTCCTGAGGCCTTTTGGACAGAGTATGCATCTTTTTTTCAGACAGGTTCTGTATCTTCTCTATGCATTTGGTGGCTAATCTTAAGCACATGCTATTTTTCCACTCAGATTTTCCTTGGGGATTTTATCTATTATTGTTACATTCTTGTCCTAGTCAATTATTTTCAAAAAATCTTAAATATTTGTTTTTGGACTATGTATTTGCCTGGTATACATTTGCTATTTTTGAGTGTTATCAACATCATTTTTGGGTCAATTTTTCAAGAAAGATAAAGTTTACCATGCAGTGTTTTAGCTGACTTTGGGATTAAGCTATGTTAAATTTTCAACCTTTTTAACTTTTGTGAATCGGTTGAAAATCTGACAGCTTTATTTCTTACATAAACCCATTGCCATCAAGTCAATTCCAACTCATAGTGACACTATAGGACAGAGTAGAACTGCCCCATAGGGTTTCCAAAGAGCGACTGGTGGATTTGAATTGTCGACCTTTTGGTTAGCAGCTGAGCTCTTAACCACTGTGCCATCAGGGAAAAAAATTACAACAATATTGCTTATATAGTCCATGAATATGCTATCAAAACATATTAATAATCACATAATCTTATTTTAAATGTCATTTATTTAATTACATCTAATATGGCTCTCTTTCTCAAATATTACACTATGGTTAACTATTCCATTTAAACTGTGTCTGAAAATCAGCATAACGCTTTCAATTTGCATAGGAAACAACTGTCAAGTGGAACAATAAACTTTAGAAAGATTTTAAAAAGAGGTTCATAGGGCAATGATCTTTTGCCTCTGTTAAAACAGTGGCATTAAAACAAATATATCTACGTATTGTTCTTTACCTGCTTAGTCTATTTGTTTGCTTCCTACGTCTCTTGCTACACCTTCCTAGACAGTTTGTGAGTTTTTCAAAATCACAGTGATATCTAAAAGGTGGAAGACTCCAGAATTCAGTTCTAGGGACTTTTCTCCCCCTTCTGTTTATTCTCCCATTCCTTGTGACTGTGTCTAGTTTCAGTACATTAAATATTCTCCTTAAGCTGAAGATACTACATTTAGATCTCATAGTCTTCTCCGTAGAACTTTGGACTCATATCTAACTCTCAGCCAACATTTTCACTTGCAAGTCTCAGTGGCTGATCTTATCTCCAAGATACGCTCATTCCACAAACCTCTCCATCTCTGTATATAAAAATTCCATCCTTTGATATTCAGGCCCCAATCCTTGGAATTATCCTCTATTCTCTCTCTCATAATCACACTTTCTATTAATCAGTATTCCTTCAGCTGTATATTTAAAGTATTTATAGAAGCTGACCAATTCTTACCACCTTTTCTGCTATACCTCTTGCCCAGATTATTATTAGAGCATCTAACCAGTCAAGGCAATGTTTCTTTTTTGGCCCAATTTCTAGTCCTCCAGGAGAAAAAGCCATGCCGTCTACTAGCTAGAAGAAGACTCTCTGAAGTGATATCTGAAGGCATGTTTGCTCCATTCACCACTCTGCTCCTTGTCATCAATCTTGTTTTTTCTGTTAGGTAAGTGTGGTTTGGAACACACAGGGCATAACCTTTTCCTGGTTGGTCTTTGACCACACCCACCATGTCTCATAGGAGTGAGCAACAAACAAATAATAGGAAACCTGTGTTTTAGTCCCACATTTTTTACTTCCTGCTGAGTTCACAGGCTTCTCTCAACATCTGTCTACCCATGCTGTTGTAGTTAATTGCCATCAAGTCAGCTCTAACTCTTGGCAACCTTATGTATAACAGAAAGAAACATTGCCTGGTCCTGTGCCACCTCCACCATCTTTGATATGTTTGAATCCATTGCTGTGGTTATTGTGTCAATCCATATCAATGACGATTTCTCTCTTTCCTTTTTTTTTAAAAAACTGACTGTCTACCAAACATGATGTCCTTTTCTAGTGAAGTCTACATCATATATTATAAAGGCACACATTTATAATATATATTAGAAATGTTATTATAAATGACCATAATATTCCTCCTTTGTCAAACTCTCAAGAAGTTTTAAATGACATTAGTATAGAATATTACTTGACAGTGAACAAAGATTTTTTGCTTCTACTGATTCATTTGAGGTTCACAACAATCCATAAAGTGTGATTATACTCATTTCTAAGATGAGAAAACTGTGACTCAGGAAGATAAGTGATATCCTTTAAGTCACTGAGCTAGAAACCTGTTAATCTTACACACAAATAATGTGTCTAATAAGATAATGAATTTAAAATACTTTTAAAGCTGTAATGTGTGTTTGAATTACCTGGTATCATTAATCTTCTTGTAAATTCTTTCTTCTTAAAGCACTTCTTCTTCTCTGCCCCCAAGACCCATAACAATGATAAAAAGTCACATTTGAAAGTGTTTGATAATACACAGAGATCTTTAACATTTATTATCTCATCAGTTTTTCTCTAGTTTGCCATGCTGACAACCAAACTGCCATGTTGACACTCACCTGCTAGAATGATATTTGTTCGTTTCCCTTCATAGGGAAGTGGGTTGCAAATATAGCAAATCATATTGCCCTGTGACTTATTTCTTAGGAGAAGAGTCATCTTCATGTGAAATAATCTGGCTTTATCCTGTGAGTAGGATATCGATGAATGTGGAACTCTTTCTCCCCTATTGTCCCTTCACTCCATCTGGGGCTGCGGGTACCACCCTCCTGAGTTACACTCCATCTTGAGTCAATCAGCACCAGAAGCCTGAACATAGATCTGCATTTCCAGGCCAAGTGCTGGTGGAAATAGGAAAGAAAAGGCAAGATAGTTATTGCATTGAAGCTGGTTTGGGAAGTGGAAAGGAAACAGGTCTCATTAATCTCTGTGTCCTGAAATCTATGGAGTAATACTTAAATCTACATCCAAGACAGACTAACCCTGGTTAGCTCTGCACAGTCACACTCTATGTTTCACAGTGTCTTCATCACTTCTTAGAAGTAAAAGCTTACTTTAATCACTTCTGAAATCCAGAGACGTCCTATTTTATAAATGCAAGATTGCTTTAAAAAAAAGAAGAAGAAGAAGAAAACAAAGATTGTAAGTTAAAACATACCAGTTTACTTTTCAAGGGTAAAGGGTATGATTGGGATTTTTTCATTCCCCTTTGTCTCATACTCCATACTTTATACATGGTCTTAAATACATATGAAATGACAAGTAAAAGTCTTACATTTCTTTTTCTTTTTTATTTTATGAATTGAAAGTATTTGCTAGAACTCACTGGTAAATGTAAATTTTTTAGATTTTTTTATTTAAAATTTGCCAGTATTAAAAAAAAAACTATAAATAATTTACAACAGGGCCTGTAACATTTTCAGAATAAAACTCTATATATTTGTGAAAGTTCTCATAGTGCTTGACAATGAGAATAAGAAAAATGAATCCATGGACGGATTACAATTATTGTATTTCACCTTCCTGGGTGGCTTGAAACAGTTGAGCCTATGATATCCCATAAGTATGAAAAGCTCCTGTAAACCTATTAATAGCTGCTGTTATTTTTACATGATGAAAACCTTCTGGTTATTGCAGGCAATAATTATCTCACCTTTCTTGGAGTGAATGAAGTAACTAGTCTGAAGAAACATCATGGGAAATGAGGGTGAATAAGAAATTTGTGATCCTTTGATAGAGGATCTAGACCATTGGGTGAGGGTATCTGGATTTTGTCTTACAGGATCTGGTGAACAAAAGAAATTTTGGGGGCTAAAGAATGGCATGTAGACATAAAAATATGTAAAAAGTCCAAAAGAATATTTAATGAAATTTTAGAATTAATCATTAAATTTAGCAAGATCTGTATATAAAATCAACTGTATTTTTACATTCTAGCAACAAAAAATAGAAAATAGAATTTTTTTAAATATAACAATATTTAAATATTATGTTCTTAAGAATTAATCCTACTAAAAATGTAAATTATCACTACACCACAAAATATAAAACATTACTGAAAGAAATTAAGTAAGACCTAAATATATTGAGGACTACATGTATTTTCGGATGGAATAAATAAATATTGTAAAGATGTCGTTTCTCCCAAAATTGATCTGTAGATTAAATGTAATTCCTGTCTCAGCAGGTATTTTTGTGGAACTTGTCAATATGATTCTAAAATATATGTGGAAATACAAAGAAAATAGTCAAGTCAATCTTTTTTTTTTTAATTGGTGTAATTAAATGAAGTTTACATTTCAAGTTAGTCTCCCATACAAAATATTTATACATACATTGTTATGAGACCCTAATTGCTCACCCCATTCTGCGACAGCACACTCCTCCTTTCCGCCCCTTCATGTCAATCTTGAAGAAGAACAATAAAGCTGGAGGACTTACATTACTTGGTATTGCCTTCTTTTGCAGCTACAACAATTAACGCTATACTGGTTTGGTGCAAGGGTAAACAGACAAACGCAACGAAGTCCAGAACGGCTCTCAAATATATGGTCACTTTCTCTATGACAAAGTAAATGTTGTAGTAGAGTGGGGAAAAGGATAACTATTTTTAGTAAATTGTTCTAGATCAATGGAATATCTTTGAAGGAATAAAAATAAAATAAAAAGTAAGAAAAACCCGTCTCTAGCGAGTCGATTCCGACTCATAGAGACCCTATAGAACTGAGTAAAACTGCCCCATAGGGTTTCTAAGGCGATGGGACCTTAACAGAAGCCGACTGCCACATCTTTCTCCTGTGCAGAGGCTGATGAGTTCCAATCACCGACCTTTCGGTAAGCAGCCAAGCACTTTAACCACTGTGCTGCCAAGACTCCTTGATATATACCTCAAATCATACAGAAATACAATTTCAAGTAGTCCACACATATAAATGTAAATGGTAAAACAATAAAGTTTTGAAAAGATAATATAGAATGTCTTCATAATATTGCATAAGAAATGTTTCTTAAATAGGACACAAAAAGCACTGATCATAAAAAGAAAACACTAACTCTTCATTAAACAACAACATTATTTCAACATTAAGAGAGTGAAAAGGCAAACTACAAAGTGGAAGATGACGTTTGCAGCATCTGTATCCTGCAAAAGATTCATATCCAAATGTACTAAGAACCCTTAAAAAAGAGTAAAGAAAAGGCAGGAAATCCAATAATAAAATAGGCAAAGACTTGAAGAGGCATATCACAAAAGTGCCTAACCAAATGTCCAATAAGCATATGAAAATTGCTCAACATCATTAGTCATCAGTAAATTTAAAAATGCAGTCAGTATTAGATACTATTACATATCTTAGATTGACTATAATTAAAACAAACCCAAAATGATAATACTATCTATTATTAAAAATGTGGAACAATTGGAACTTTCATACACTGCTTGTGGGAATGGAAATTGGTAAAACCACTTTGGAAAACTCTTTGACAATATCTACTAAAGCAGAATATATACATAACCTATTGTCCATCAATTATTATATTATATTATACTATACTATATTATATTATATCTATTGTATATCCTAAATATATATCCAGCAGGCATTATGTGCACCAAAAGACATATGTTAGATGGTTTTTAACTGCATTCTTTGTAATTTCCCCAACTAGAAAGAACCTAAATGCCCATCATCAATAGAATCAATAAATAAGTTATGGTTAATGACAAAACAGAACACTGTATGCAATGAAAACAAACTAAAATCACACACAACAATATACATAGATTTCACAGAAAAGAAGCTGAGCCTGAGTCAGACATAAAATAGTAATTCTTTAATTTCTATTTCTATTAAGTTATAAAAGAGAAAAAGTAATCTATGCTGATAAAATAGTGGCTACATTTGAATTATATTGACAGAGGGAATAAGAAGGTGGTTTGTGGGGTACTGGTAGTATACTATATCTTAATCTGAGTGTCAATTATAAGATATTTATGTTAGTAAAAATGAACCTAATTATACACTGAAGATTTATGCTTCCATAAAAATATTAAGAGGAAAATCTTAAAAAGGAGTAATCATCTTGAAAAGCAAAAAAAAAAAACAAAAACAAAAAAAAAAAAAGAGGATTTCAGTAAACTGACAAAGTGTATCTGGATTTCAGTAAACTGACAAAGTGTATCTGTCATATACTTGCAGAAAACTCCACACTTATTGGTTAAATTATATTTTTTAAACTTAAATTAAGGCAAAATAAATAAAGATGCTCACTATCACATTATTATTCCACATTTTAAAAGCGTTAACCATGACAGCAAAAAGTTTAAGATTGAGGTAAGAACAGAAAGAAATAATATTAGAAATATCTATGAGTTATATTGTTCACATAGAAATCCAAGAGTATTTACAAACTATTACAATTAATAATCAGGAAAATAAGGCAGATTGCACCATGAGCAACATAAAAATCAATGATATTTTGTACATTACAAATTAGAAAATAACTTTTAAAATAGGACCATTTCATAATAACCATAAATCTTCAATCAGCTTGTAAATAAATCTAACGAATATATTCAACTTTATGGAGAAAAATAAAAATCTTTACATAGAAATAAATTACAGGTTGATTCAGTTATAAAAGTGAACTATAGAATATTATAAATTTCAAAGAATATTTTGACATTCATTGAATGGTTAGGAATTTCATAAATTTCATAAACGAGGAAGAAAAGACACGTCAAAAAAGGGTAAGAGAACTGGATGGTGCCCAGCTACCATTATTGAAGGTTCTGATCAAAGACTCTATAAAAGAATCATGATCAAAAGGGGGAAAATGTAGAACATAATTTGAAATTCTAGAGGAATCTAGACTTTTTGGAGCCATTGAGCTGCATGAATCCCTGAAACTATTGCCCCGAGATAATCTTTAAACCTTAAACCTTAAGTTAAACCCAAAATATCCCCTTAAGTCTTCTTAAAACCAAGCAATCGTTTAGCTTAACTAGCAAAGAATGCCTGCCTTGAGCATTGTGATCTTTTAAGAACTACCTATATGGGCTCGAATTGACAAAGTAACTAGAAAGATTAGACAGAAAACTTTGGGGCAGTGAGTTTATGTTAATGGGGGAGGAAAAATTTGGAACAGGAGGGAGTGAATGGTTGCACAACTTGAAGAATGTAGTCGATGTCACTGAATTGTACCATAGAAATTGTGTGTATTCTCAACAACAATAAAAAATAAAATAGATTTTTAAAAAGGATGAGATTGAGAAGGTTTGTTAAATTAACCCTATACTCTTTAGAACATGAAAGAAACTAAGCAAATTATTTTACAACATATAGTTCAGGAGATGATATCTGCAACCTATATTTCAGAGATGTTAGTATCTTTAACATGTAAATTATTCCTACTAATGGATAAAAAAGACAACCCAATAGAAAAATGGTCAAAGGAAGTAAACTAACAAGTCACTGAATAGGATATCTGGGTGGCATAAACATATAGAGCCTCTCTATTAAGAGAAAAAGTCAAATGAAGACAACAGTAAGACAATGGCTAAACAAATGTAAAAATCAGACTGTATAAAATGGTGATAGAGATCTGATGAAATGGGAACCCCAGTCTCATTCTTTGTTGGTGCAAGTAAAATTTTATACAACAGATTTGCTAATGTCTGTTACCTTGAAAATGCACATATTGCTCAGCACTTCTAATTGTACATCATATACTTAGAAACTGTGACTTGTGTGAACATGAAGACATGTGCAATGATGGACATGGTAGCAGTTTAGAAAGAGCAAAATATTGGAAATGCTCTAAACGTCTATGAATAGATGAGTGAATGATATGTAGTAGTTTATCCAGAGGAAGAAGGACAATCAAGTAGTTAAAAGGAATGCTTTATATCTAACCTGTATCCACAAGGACAGATCTCATAATAAATACTGAGAAAATAAAGCTAGTTGGACAATGAAAATGTTCAGGATAATACCAGTTATGTAAAGTTTGTTGTTGTTGTTGGTAGGCGCTGCCGAGTCAGTTATGACTCATAGTGACCCTATGTATAACGGAACAAAACACTGCCCAATCCTGAACCATCCTCACCATTATTTTTATGTTTGAGCCCATTGTTGCAGCAGCCACTGTGTCAATCCATCTATTTGAGGGTCTTCCTCTTTTTCACTGACCCTCTACTTTACCAAGCAAGATGTCTTCCAGGGACTGGTCCATCCTGATAACATATCCAAAGTACATGAGACCAAGTCTTGCCACCCTTGCTTCTAAGGAGTATTCTGGCTACACTTCTTCCAAAATACGTTTGTTTGTTCTTCTGGCAGTCCATAGTATATGCGATATTCTTCACCAACACCACAATTCAAAGGCATCAATTCTTCTTGAATAAGTTCTTCCTTATTCATTGTCCAGCTTTCACAGGCATATGATGCTATTAGAAATATCATGGCTTGGGTCAGGTGCATCTTAGTCCTCAAGGTGATATCTTTGTTTGTTTGTTTTTTGTTTTTTTAACACTGTAAGAGGTCTTTTGCAGCAGATTTACCCAATGCAATATGTTGTTTGATTTCTTGACTGCTGCTTCCATGAGTGTTGATTGTGGATTCAAGTAAAATGAAATCCTTGACAACTTCAATCTTTTCTCCGTTTGTCATGATGTTACTTATTGGTCCAGTGGTGAGGATTTTTGTTTTCTTTATGTTGAGGTGTAATCCATGCTGAAGGCTGTGGTCTTTGATCTTCATCAGTAAGTGCTTCAAGCCCTCTTCACTTTCAGCAAGCAAGTTTGTATCATCTGCATATCTCAGGTTGTTAACGAGTCTTCCTCCAATCCTGGCGCCACATTCTTGTTCATATAGTCCAGCTTCTTGGATTATTTGCTCAGCATACAGATTGAATAAACATGGTGAAAGGATATAACCCTGATGCACATCTTTCTTGATTTTAAGCCACGCAGTATCCCCTTTTTCTGTTCAAACGACTGCCTCTTAGTCTATGTACAAATTCCTCATGAGCATAATGCACAGAACAATACCAATATTGTATACAGAAATACGCATAAGACACTATCACAAAAAAAAAAAAAAACTTTAAACAGTAAATACTTACTAAATTTAAGAAAATGGTTGTAATTGGGACAGGAGGAAGTGAATAGGATTGAGAAAGATACATGGGTAAATGAGGAATTGTTAATTTAATATTTTATAAATTAAAAATGTTTTGTGTCAGCAGTATGTATTGCAGTGGGTATATGGTCTTCTTACTTTTGGCAATACTTCAGATACCTTAATGAAAATATGAAAAGGAGAAAAAAAAAGTTGAGATGATTTCCTTCCCACGTATTTCAGCTCTATGGGGCCCCAGGGGCACTGGTGCACAATATCCCACCATCGTCCTTACCTGTCACTTTCAGGTTCATGTTGGCCACATCATAGAAGCCACTATCTTTAAATGAACACTGGTATTGCCCCTCATCATAAACACTGATATTATGAATTCTGAGGGTCACTTTGCCCTCCCCAAGGGCCTCTTTCAGTACCTCTGTGCTACCCATATACTCTGGGGAAGCTTCTCTATTCATTTCATGGCCCCCACTGTACGGATAAACAGTCTTGGAATGGTCTCCCCAGAACGAGAGCACTTCCACGTGCTCTGCACTCTGTGGTGGGGACTGCTGGCAGCTGAGTTCTGCCTGTCCTCCCACTGTAGCCATTGAGTGTCTGGTGGGACTGGTCACCATCAACTTCTCTGTGGAGGAAGACAAAAAAATCAGGAATAAATCTAGAGCCAACAACATCACTGTTGCTGAACATTGTTCGAAAGGACACAGCCAGATTCTGACCCTTTGACCCTAGCTGTTCTAAATGTCCTTCTCTGATCATACCCCCTTCTGATTAACCTAAAATCTTAGCTTTTGAAAATATCAATGCCATTATTCAGATTACTTTCTTCTCTTTAAAATATATTTCCAGAACTGTGCTTATATTTATTCTCTATTAATTTTATAGCATGTTTCTCAGAGTAGGGAGAACAAAGCACATCAGCAAGCTGTAATAGAAATCTAATAATACTCTGCAGCCAAAAAATAGTAATCATCTGAGTAAATTCTAAGAGTTTTAAGGTAACTTTGCTGTGATGAGTAGCGACATTATTGCAATCTTCTTTTGGAAGGACCTGTAAGTGGGAATATGAGAGCGTTCTGAAGTGTGCTTCTTAGCTCAAGTAGATACATGAGACTAAATGGGCAGCTCCATTTAGGCAGAGAGGGTCAGGAGCTGATTGAATGGACACGGGAAATCCAGGGTGGAAAGGAGGAGTGTGCTGTTACAGTATAGGGAGAGAAATTAGGGTCACATAACAATGTATGTATAAACTTTTTAAGAGAGACTAAATTGAATTGTAAACTTTCAGTTATAGCACAATTGAAAAAAAAAGCATTCTGAACTTTCATATGAATACTCTTGGTAGAGGGATGGAAGTAACAGTCAAACACCTAACTTTGGATCGGACAGGAGGAGGGAGCTATTATTTGTTAGCTTGCTTGCATATACTATGAGTGAAACATGACTTTGATCTTTTATATTGGGAATAAGAGAGAAATTAATAGCCCAAAAGAAAACTTTAATAGAATGCCCAAATTAGCAACGGAAAAAAATGAGGACCAATAGCAAATTAACCATAGTAAATAATCAGCAAGATTAACAGTAGTAATAGTAGACAAAATGAAATTTGAGATCAAACCATTAAACAAAAATGTAATATTATGATACAAAATATTTTATATAAAAATAAGATAGAACATATTTTAAAGCTATCACCAAAAATTAACTCGGCTTATAACTACTGTTTATTACTTTATTGCATCATTCATCGAGGAAGAAATTCTTTCACAGGAGCCCACAACAGACTTTCTCTCCCATCCTTAAACCAAAACTGCGTTATTTGATCTTTGAATGCTCTAAGACTTCTCCATATTCCTGGCATAAATCCTACTTGCTTAATAAATACTATCATCTTACTTAATATGATCATCTTTTAATATTTACAGTTCTATTTAGATTTCTGTGCCTCTAGTCATAAAATGGAGCCCTCGTGGCACCGTGGTTAAGAGTTCAGCTGCTAACCAAAAGGTTGACAATTACAATCCACTAGGTGCTCATTGGAAGCCATGTGGGGCAGTTCTACTCCATCCTATAGGGTTGCTATGAGTTGGAATCGACTTGATGGCAACAGGTTTTTGTTTTTTGTTTTTGTTTTTTTTGAGTCATAAAATATATTAATATAGAAAATTATTTAATTACGTTGTCTTTGTTAGTTTTGGCCTCAAATTGTGCTGATACTGTAACATGAGTTGGATATTCTTTCCTAATTGTCTATTAGTCTGAAAGAGTATATACAGAAAGACAAGCATATAGTCTATAAAATTATTCAAGAATATAACTCTAAAAACATCCTGACTTAGAATTTCTCAAGGTAATTTTTAGTATCTTTTTTTTAATGCTTAAGTGATTTTTCCTTCAGTTCTGAAACTATTTTTAAATTTTCATATATACATACATACATGTACATGCATATATACATGTATGTGTGTCTATATAGATGTGTGTGTGTATATATATGTGTAATACAACCAAACAAGGGGAGCTAAAATGAACTGTGGATGGTTGGGGGAGGCGGGCGAAGGAAATAAATACTTTCAAAAGTACCCAGGATAGACTCTGAAGAGCTGTAAATGGCTTCGTGTTAGCAGTGTAGACAAAACTGGCTTCTTACAAGAAATTTGATTAAACAGCTAATGCTAAAGTGATCATGGACTTGGATGTTGTTAGTAGGAGTCATATCAACAGTCTCAGATAAATGTCACCTCCTTAGAAAAGGTTTCTGAGGACACCCAATCTAAAGCAACCATCCATTAACTCTTAAATGTTTCATCCTGTTGGGTTTAATTTATAGCACTTATTATTGCCCATTTCCTCTTGTCTTCCAACCTCTTCTTCATTCTCCTCTATTTTCTGTCTTCTGTTTTTCATCCTCCCTTCCTCAATCTCTTCCTCCCTTCTTCCCTTCTTGTCTCTTCCTGCTATTATAAAACCTCCAAGAGAACAGGTTGAAGGATCATTAGAAGAGCTGTAAAGAGATCTTATGCATTCAGATAAGTTTCCAGGGGCTCTAGAATCTTTCCTTATAGCTGTGACTCAGTAAGAAAAAAGTAGATGTTCTTACCTGAAGTTGATGTCATTATTTTCAGGAGAAGAAAGACCACACAGTACCCAGAACAAGAACAGGATACAGGCATCATCATGCCTGGGAAAGGAGACAAGAGGAAGGTCATAGACTATGAAGTATGGGATAGATATTGTAAAGATACACAAAAATAAAACAAGATTAGAAACAAGGTGTTAAAAATATAATCATGTATTAATTCAAAAGAATAACATAATATTTGATTGCTCTATGATTTAATAAACAATTTACAAATTGGGGAAATGTTCCCTCAGGCAAGAGGAAACTACTTCCAGAGAATGGAGCATTCACTAAGACTTAAATAACTTTTGCTTAAAGAATACAGGTTTCCATGGTGATGAAGTACTTAATGGCTACTGAGACCTCTAGAGTCCTGAGACCTCTAGAAATTTAAATTAAAGAAGTCTGAGTATTCAACTTTGTGAAAATGTCAATTCTACCCAAAGCAATCTACAAATGCAATGCAATCCTGATCCAAATGCCAACAGCATTCTTTAACGAGATGGAAAAATTAATCATTAACTTTATATGGAAAGAAAAGAGGCCCCAGATAAGTAAAGAATTACTGAAGAAGAACAAAGTAGGAGGCCTCACACTACCTAACCTTAGAACCTACTATACGGGTACCATAGTCAAAACAGCCTGATACTGGTACAACAGACACATTGACCAATGGAACAGAATTGAGAACTCAGATGTAAATCCATCCACCTATGGTCACCTGATCTTTGACAAAGGCCTGAAGTCAGTTAAATGGGGAGAAAACAGTCTTTTTAACAAACGGTACTACCAGAACTGGATATCCATCTGTAAAAAAAGGAAACAGGACCCTTACTTCACAACCATGCACAAAAACTAATTCAGAATGGATCGAAACCTAAATATAAAACCCAAATCTATAAAGATCATGGAAGAAAAAAAATAGGATCAACGCTAGGGGCCTTAATATATAGCAAAAATGGAATACAAACCATAACTAACAACACACAAACACCAGAAGACAAGCTGGATAACTGGGATCTTCTAAAAATTAAATACTTATGCTCATCAAAAGACTTCACCAAAAAAGTAACAAGAGAACCTACAGACTGGGAAAAAAAATTTTGCTACGACATATCTGTCAAAGGTCTAATCCCTAAAATCTACAGGAAAATCCAACACTTCTACAACAAAAAGACAAATAAACCAATTAAAAAATGGGCAAAGGATATGAATAGACACTTTACCAAAGAAGACATTCATGCAGCTAACAGACACATGAGGAAAAGCTCTCAATCACTAGCCGTTAGTAAATCAAAACCACAATGAAATTCCATCTCACCCCGACATATTGGCACTAATCAAAAAGCAGAAAATAACATATATTGGAGAGGTTGTTCCTGGGAGATTGCAACTCTTATGCACTGCTGGTAGGAATGCAAAATGATACGACCATTTTGAAAAGCAATATGGCACTTCTCTAAAAAGCTCGAAATAGAAATAACATATGACACAGTCATCCCACTCCTAGGAATACATCCTAGAGAAATAAGAGCCGTCACACAAATAGAGATATGCACACCCATGTTCATGGGAGCATTATTCACAATAGCAAAAAGATGGAAACAACCTAAGTGCCCATCAACAGATGAATGGATAAACAAACTATGGAACATACACACAATGGAATACTACACAACAATAAAGGACAATGATGAACCTGTGAAACATCTAAAAACATGGATGAATCCCAAAGGCATTATGCTGAGTGAAGTAAGTCTATCACAAAAGGACAAATACTGTATGAGACCATTATTGTAAAAACACATAAAAATGTTTCCAGAGAAAGAAAGACCTGGTGATCTACTTCCTAAAAATCAGTCATTAAAAACCCTATGTAGTGTAGTTCTACTCTTACACACATGGAGTAGCCATGAGTCAAAGTTGCCCCACAGACAACAGGTTGCTTTTTTTAAAGGCCCCTAGCATGTAATAGGCTTTACTAAAGTTTGTGCAATATCCAGCTTTGTTCGTATCACCAAGGTCATATTTTTGAAACTACTGATCCTTCCTATTATTTCCAACTTTTTGCATTCTAGTCACCAGTAATTATCAATCTTGATTGCATGTTTGACCAACGTTAGACTGCAGAAGTTGGTAAAAATCTTCAGTTTCTTCATCTTTAACATTAGTGGTTGGTGTGTAAATTTAAAATATGGCCTTGAAAATACGGCCTTGGTGAAAGAAACAATGCCAGAGATCACATTATAGAATTTTGCAAGATCAATGACCTATTCATTGGAAATACCTTTTTTCAACAACATAAACATCAACTATACATGTGGACCTTACCAGACGTAATACATAGAAATCAAATCAACTATGTCTGTGCAAAGAGATGATGGAGAAACTCGATATCATCAGTCAGAACAAGGCCAGGGGTCAACTGCAGAACAGGCCATCAATTGCTCATATGCAAGCTCAAGTTGAAGCTGAATAAAATTAAAACAGGTCCAGGAGAGCCAAAGTACAACCTTGAGTATTTCCCACCTGAATTTAGAGACCATCGCAAGAATAGATTTGACACATTGAACACCAATGAGGGAAAACCAAGATGAGTTGTTGGATGACATCAAGGACATCATACATGAAGAAAGTGAAAGGTCGTTAAAAAGACAGGATAGAAAGAAAAGGCCAAAATGGAATGTCAGAAGAGACTTTGAAACTTGCTCTTGAGCGTAGAGTAGCTAAAGTGAGTAGAAGAAATGATGACATCAAAGAGCTGAAAGAATATTTCCAAGGGTAGCTCCAGAAGACAAAGTAAATATTATAATGAAATGTGCAAAGACTTGGAGTTAGAAAACCAAAAGAGAAAGACACAGTTGGCATTTCTCAAGCTGAAAGAACTGAAGAAAACAATTCAAACCTTGAGTTGCAGTATTGAAGAATTCTATGGGCAAAATACTCAATGACACAGGAAACATCAAAAGAGGATGGAAGGAATACACAGAATCACTGTACCAAAAAGAATTGGTCGATGTTCAGCCATTTTAGAAAGTAGCATATGACCAAGAACCAATGGTACTGAAGGAAGAATCCCAAGCTGCACTGAAAGCACTGGCGAAAGACAAGACTCCAGGAATTGACGGAATACCAATTGAGATGTTTCAACAAAGGGATGCAGCGCTAGAAGTGCTCACTCATCTCTGCCAAGAAATTTGGAAGACAGCCACCTGACCAACCGACTGGAAGAGATCTATATTTGTGCCCATTCCAAAGAAAAAGTGATCCAACTGAATGCGGAAATTATTGTGCAATATCATTAATATCACATGCAAGCAAAATTTTGCTGATGATTATTCAAATGCAATTGCAGCAGTACATTAACAGCAAACTACCAGAAATTCAAGCCAAATTTAGAAGAGAATGTAGAACGAGGGATATTATTGCTGATGTCAGATGGATCTTGGCTGAAAGCAGAGAATACCACAAAGATGTTTACCTGTTTTTTATTGACTATGCAAAGGTGTTTGTGTGGATCATAACAAATTACGGATAACACAGGGAAGAATGGGAAATCCAGAACATTTAATTGTGCACATGTGGAACCTGTACAAAGACTAAGAGGCAGTTGTTCGAACAGAACCAGGGAATACTGCATAGTTTAAAATCAGGACATGTGTGTGTCAGGATTATATCCTTTTGCCATACTTATTTACTCTGTATGCTGAGCAAATAATCCGAGAGCTGGACTATATGAGGAAGAACATGGCATCAGGACTGGAGGAAGCCTCAGTAACAACCTATAATATACAGATGACACAATCTTGCTTGCTGAAAGTGAAGAGGACTTGAAGCACTACTGATGAAGATCAAACACTATACAGCCTTCAGTATGGATTACACCTCAACATAAAGAAAACAAAAAACATCACAACTGGACCAATGAGCAACAGCATGATAAATGGAGAAAAGATTGAAGTTGTCAAGGATTTCATTTTATTTGGATCCACAATCAATGCCCATGGAAGCAGGAAATCAAATGACATATTACATTGGGCAAATGTGCTGCAAAAGACCTCTTTAAAGTGTTAAAATACAAAGATGTCACTTTGAGGGCTAAGGTGTGCCTGACCCAAGCCAGGATATTTTCAGTTGCCTCATATGAATGTGAAAGCTGGACAATGAATAAGGAAGACTGAAGAAGAGTTTATACTTTGAATTATGTTGTTGCTGAAGCATATCAAATATATTGTGGACTGCCAGAAGAATGAACAAATCTGTCTGGTTGCCCCGGTGGTGCAATGGTTAAGAGAGAACTACGACTGCTAACCAAAATGTTGGCAGTTTGAATCCATCGGCAGCTCCTTGGAAACCCTATGAGACAGTCTACTTTGTCCTACAGGGTCGCTGTGAGTAGTAATTGACTTGACAGCAACGGGTTTGTTTGTTTGTTTTTTGATCAGGAGGGACCAGTCCTAAGAGTAGGGCACATGTTTAGTAAAGTAGAGAGTCGGCGAAAAAGAGGAAGACCCTCAACAAGGTGGATTGACACAGTGGCAGCAACAATACGCTCAAGCATAACAGTAACTATTAGGATGGCGCAGGACTGGGCAGTGTTTTGTTCTGTTGTACATAGGATCGCTATGAGTCGGAACCCACTCAACAGCACCTAACAACAGCAAAGTTTGTGGAATTGAGTTCTCAAAATCTTTATAACGGCTCTTGAAATTTAAGCTTCTAGCTAGGACTGTTACAATTTAATTTGCTATTAGTTTTCAGAAGAAGAAATAACTTTTAAAGCAGTTAAAGTTTATTAAAAAAGATGTTTCCACACAAAAAGAAATAATCTTTGATGGTTATGAGGGAGGGGAGGGCTAGGGAGGGAAAAACACTAACTAGATAGTAGATAAGTGGTAACTTTGGTGAAGGGTAAGACAGCACACAATACTGGGGAAGTCAGCAGAACTTGACGAAGTCAAAGTCATAGAAGCTTCATAGACTTATCCAAACTCCCTGAGGGACCAAGTTACTGGGCTGAGGGCTGGGGACCATGGTCTCAGGGGACATCTAGCT